ATCTATGCAGTAGATGAACAGCAAGCATACTGATGACCTCAAGTCTTTTTTTAAAAAGGGTAAATAAACATAACATCGGATGCCATTAATGAGCTGTTGCCAGCTCTAACTTGGATAGTATTCTTACTTATGCATGTTGCTTTGGTGCATGTCTGCTGTAGTTCCTCTCTACAAATGGAAAATTTAAAGCATAACAAACAACATTAACTTGCTCCAGAGAAAAGTGATCAAAAGAGCCGGAATTCTTAATTCTCATAATAAGCATAATATGTACTTATTCCCTTCCTCAAACAGTTTATCTACCACTAAAACTCAAACTGTTTGAGAGAAAAAGTAAAAGCACGTATGGATAATACACAATGAATCCATGTTACCACTTTTTTGCTCTTTGTTTAGCTACAATGTGTTTTATACCTACTATATCAACTGTATTGTATTAAATGCAACAAAGTGAGAAAAGAGAAAAGAAACAGTTTTTCATAATATATTCAAAAGACAACCAAACCATGAAATTTACTTTTAATCTTCCCATGTAAAAGAGTCTCAAATAAATGTATTCTGTTATAGCTATCACTTCACCTACATGTAAACTTTCCAAATGTTTATTCATTCATTTAACAAATATTTATTAAGTGCCAGGCATTGTGCTAAGCTCTGGAGGGTTCTAGTTATACAGATGATAATCTATGACTTGCAGACACCATTTGCAAAATATCTCTCTTTAAGACTTCTAATTTCTACATTGGAATATTATGATATCTTTACGAACTACATAACTGCCGTGTGGCTCTTCAATTCATGGTGACTGTTAAATACGCCAACGAAGTCAAGTAAAAACCACATATTATGTGTATGATGTTAGAGAAAAGTATAATTTATCACTGTAATTAGTACTATTTAGATAAATACTCTCACTTGGCTGAAAGCTACCATGCTATCTAGTCTAAGCTACAATTAGACTTAATTTTTATCAAGCACTGAAACTATGTATAAAATTGTGCTTCCTAACCCCTCCTCAGATAATGCTTCAGTCTTGATACAGTGGTAAGGAATTCTAATGTTCAAACGTGGAAAAGATTTCTGTCCTCCCACCACAACCTAGCAGATTTTTCTATAAATTCCCAGCCATTAATTAGTACTGAGTTTCCAGATTTAACTAAGCCAGAGCCAAAAGTAAAATCAACAGTTAATAAAATCACAGAATCTCAGAACTGAATAGATGACCTAATTTGATTTCTTTGTTTTAAGATAAAGAGTGAGATCTGAAGAGGTTTACAGTCATGTTCATGGTCACACAAGTTAATGATAGGGCTGTGGCTAGTTTTCTGACTCCTACCCCAGCATTCGTTTAATACAAAATGAAACTGTTATAGGAAATTAAGAAAAAATTCTGAGGGAGAAAGAAATTACCTTTAATTACAAACATGAGTGAACCATAACTCAGATGCACTTAATAAGCTCTAAATTAAAATTATGCTTTATTTAAGAATAAGTAAAGGAAGTCAAAGCTGAAAAATGATAGGTCACTCTTTTGGGATATGGCCTCCATTCAGGTTAATCCAGTTATAATCAATTTTAAGAGCCTGTTTCAATTATTTTTTAGTTCTGGAATTATTTTGTGTTGAATAATACCTGAAATTAGTAGGGTACTGGCTAAGGGAGCAGAAATCTTTTTGATTTACAGAGATTTTTTTGCTGTAATGGGTTTTGACCAGGGAACGGTAAATTAAAGCAAGACTCCAGACTTTCACCTTAATTTCCTATATCTCCAATTTTGACCTCTTCCCTCCTACTTATACGAAGTAATAGGAACTAACATTCCCACTTCAACTTCACTTTTATTTTTCAAAATATAGTTTGTTTCATTACCGTTGAACTTAATTTCTTCAACATTCCTGTATTTCTAAGAATACAATTCTCTTAGATAAATGGATGGTAATGATTTTACTAATACTCAAGTCATAGAGTATGTAAATGCTGGAAAGACTGACTTTCATAATGCTTTAAAAAGTAAGTGGTGCTTTAATGACTGAGGCATTATGGAATACTATTCTAGCCAATTCATCTATCAAATTAAAATGGATTTGCAATCCAGAAAGACAGACACTTTGGCTTCCATCAGTACTGGATAGTTAGAATAAAAGAAACATGTATATTTATAGGACTTGAATTCTGGTTCGGCAGGATGTATAAGTAAAAGGAAGAGATAAAAACAACAGATTGAGATGATTATTTCTCAAACAGAAAGTGCATTTGTGGTTCCTATTAAAGTGAAAATAGTTAAATGAAAGGACATATTTATATGTTCCTTAAAAGTCTATTGTACTAGGAAAATACAAAGATGATAGATGATAGATAGAAGAAAGGAAGAAAGAAAAAGGAAGGAAGGAAGGAAGGAAGGAAGGAAGGAAGGAAGGAAGGAAGGAAGGAAGATCTATAGTGAACTCAGTGAACATTTATATATGGTGCTTACTAAATCTCAGCCATTGTTCTATGCACTTTACACATCCTAAGCTATTTCACCCCCACAGCCACCTTTCAGGTGACTATTATTATTAACTCCCATATTACAAACAAGGAAGCCAAGCTAACAGCTAGTTAAGTAGCAAAACCAGACTGCAAATTCAGTCAAACCCCAGAATCTGTATCTTTAAGCACTATGCAGTAATGGCTACTGCTTAGGAATTATCAGCTTTGTTGAATTTATCTTTGAATCATTTTGATACCAAAATTTAAAGATACTTATACCTCAATTAAACAATTTCATTATGAAATTCTTCAATTCCATGATTCTAATATCTTGAAGAATACACCATTAATTTATTTATTTATTAATAAGGTGTCTCTGTAAATACTTAGGCTCCTCTGTGTATAGAAAACTCATGTTACAGAACACTACTGGTATTCTCACACTTTGGGGCTTTTTTCAGTGGAAAACATGGTTATGTATAAACTAAGTAACTTTCATACTCCCATTGTCATATATAGTATATACTTCGGAAAAAGTTCCACATGATACAGGGACGACATTGATTGATGTTCTCCCTCAAGCTCATATACAATTCAGCAGGTAAACCTTGTCAGTTCTACAACCTAAAAATCCCTCAAATCCATCTTCCTTCTTTCTTTTTTTGTTTTGTTTTGTTTATTTGTTTTTGAGAGAGAGAGAGAGCAGGGGAGGGACACAAGGAGAGGGAAAGAGAGAGTCCCAAGCAGGCTCCCCACTCAGCGCGGAGCCCGACACAGGGCTCGATCTCAAGACCCTGAGATCATGACTTGATCTGAAAGCAAGAGTCGGGTGCTGAACTGACTGAGCCACCCAGTTGCCCCCATCCCCCTTCTTTCCAAACCTACTGTAATTACCACTGCTAAGACTCAGCATTTCATGAGTCCCTCCAGCCTCAAACTCCTCCAGGGTTCTCTGTGGGGGCACTGCAGGGGCATGGCTGGCTCAGTGAGGCAAAAGAACTGAAAGAGTCATGCATTAAGCTTCATTAGCCTCTCAAGTCATCACAAATAGATACAAAATCTATTTAAAACAAACAAACAGACGTTTACTACTCAAAAACCGCTTCAAGACAAAGGTCTTAGCTACCCTTCGAATCAAGCTGCCACCTCAGCCTTCTCATAAAAACATCTGGAACCAGCACTGACCTTCCACCATACTAAATCAATAATCCCTACAAAACGCAAATCAAGTCATGTTATTTCCCCTGCTTCCCTTCCCTAAGACTTAAATTCCTTAAAACATCATATACGGCCCTTCACGATTGGGCTACCTTCCTGCCTCGCCTCTCGGACTTGCCCTGGCCCACCCGTGCTAACCATATTAAATAACCTGCATCTCACTGAACGTACCTTGCTCTTTCAGGCCTTCATGTCTTGCCCCTGCTACTCCATAGCCTAGAATTGTCCTTCCCACTCCTCGGCTAACTGATGTTCATAGACTGAGGTTCAGCTTAAAAACTATATCCTCCATAAAGTCCTCCTTTAAACCTCAGAGACCTTCCCTCCTTTAGAAAAATTTTGCTCCTAACCCAAGAGCTAGGGCCATCCTTCTCTTAATTCCCCTAACATCCCAGGTATAAACACCATTTATTTAGTCCTATCACCATAAGGTTCAACGGTCCTCACACGATGCCATTTCCACCTTTTGCTAGTGAAAGAAATCAGCCTGATCTTGTTTATCATTGTACTCTCACTGCTTCACACGATGCCTGGCACACATAGCTAATATTCAATGAATGTTTAATGAGCTGGAATTAAATTCTCTATACAATATAGTAATAGAGACATGTACATTAATGGAAAATATAAATAATATTGAAAATAATGTTCACAGAAAATATCTGACCATTGTGATTTTCATAATAAAATTAAAATATTAACTTTACACTATAGTCACATACTGAAATTTTGGACTTTCGTGCTCCACTTGTGTACATGCATAGAATCACATTTTTTAAAATATAGTGGTTCTAAATTAAGAACCAGTTGACACATGATTTTGTTTATTTCATCATTTCTTTTTAACTATAATAAATAAGAACTTTATTATACTAAAGTTGTTCATTTTCATTTTTCCTTTCCCAAAGTAATGGCCACATGTGGAATGAAAAGCATTTTCATTATCCTGAACAAGATGAATATCCTGTTTGTGTGATTTGGGGCAGTTTCTTATGAAGACTGCCAGCCTCTTATGAACATTATGATTTTCAGATGTGTAGTGTGCATTAAAGAACAAGAAGATATCATGAAATATTAATGACAATTACAGACTGAGCAAAGAAACTGGACAATGTTTCCAAGGGTTATAAGGACTGTGGAAATGAATGTTACTCAAAGTAGAGTGGTGATTTATAACCGATTTCCGTCTTCAAATTAGGGCCCAAGTGAAAGAAAACGGAATTTAGCAAAGCATTCTGGTGTATCATTTCCTGCAGCAGAAACACCCCCCCCAGACCAGTGCCCTCACTATGTACAGGACAAGAAGCAGCAACCTGAGGGAAGCCCACAGGCTCGCAGGGCTACTGGCTGGCTCTTTGTCACCAAATGCAGCAGGTTGAATGCAGACATCACTGTGATATCTTCACCAACAGAACGAGAGGCAAAGAACAGGGGCAAGAGCTGAGTAGGAGAAAAAAGAAAACAAAAACAAATTAAAACATCACAAATGTTAAACACATTCATTGCACAACTGATGGTTACAGTTTTATCTGGAACTGAACCCATACACACAGTGGTAATAAATTGCAAATGCCTATTTTTTAGATGGTGAGCTTACTTTCAACCCAGACTTATTTATATCTTATGAATAAAATACACATGATATAAAAGTGTAATCTGTGAACACATTTTGCAAGAGGTCAGAAAAGAGACGAAGTTTAAAACATTTGAAAAGAATTAGCATTTATGGAGTGAGTTTGTACCATGTGACAGGAACTGTCTGGGGCCCAATATACACATTGTATCATTTAATTCTTACAATAAACCTATGAGGTAGGTTTTATCCCCCAATAATATGTGAGGAATCGAGGCTCAAAGGTCCAAGGGCACAAAGCAAATAACCAGTGGAAAAAGGATTAGAAAACCCTGTTAAATCTCACTGCAAAGCCACGTTCTTTCCTTACACCATGCTGCCTCCTTCCAGCAATTATTTGTAAATCTCCCTCCCTGGAGAAGACTATAAAATATTGGAAGATTAAGAGATGCCTTTTGTTAGTTTTTTTTTTTTTTTAATAGAGAACCAAGTAACCTACAGACAACTAGGAGACTTCACTTTGGAAAGTGTTAAGTTTGAGCAAAGCATAGCAAATATGAATTTTAATTCAATTTTATCATTTATAATTTCAAGGTCAATTCTGTGAATAATTTTAAAACTTAACCTTAAAAAGGGTAAAAATATTTTTAAAGGTTTTGGAAATGAATCTACATGGAAGAATCTCAAAATTGTGTGAGTGTTAAACTTCAGAGAAAAGTTGTTAGGATTTTCTTAAAGTTTTGTACAATCTTTCAATTGCTAAAGATTAACTTCAAATGAAGAGGGAAAAAACTAGGCTAATACTTTAAATAATTTATTTTAAATTGGCATTATAAGTGAACCTTAATCACTACATGTCCAAAAATGGATGTAAAATGAATGTCTCATTCATTTCCTGGCCCTCATCCCCCCAGAATAAAAGTCTGTTCCTGGTCTCTTCTGACATCCTTAAAGAACAAACACATAATAAACAGTAATATATTTTACCAAATCACTCTGGAGTACATCTGACAGAAATCTGCTTGTATTAACATACCTGAACTCTGACTTCTCCAAACTAAACTCACTACAAAACTAAAACATTTTTGTGTTACCAACTAGAAACAAAAGGGAGGAAGAGGGAAGGTAACTATCACAATGCACAGCTGAAAAGAACCATTAAACATAAATAAACATGTCATTTTCACGAGTGACTGCAGAGCAGGGAAAAGAGCATTCCTTTGGAGCAGACTACTGACTAATAAAAGATCAAAGGTCTATACCTAACAACACTATAAATAAAAATGTATTTTTTTTCCTGGTGACCTTCTCTGAGAGGAATAAAGTGTGCACGATAAATGTAATTACTTAGCAAAGCTGCAGCCTCATTGTGCTCCCACAGCTGACCATAAAACGTCTTCCTATTCTGTTTCATCAACTGCTGTACCAGGCGGCCTGCGCGCCTACCGATGGCCTCAGCCATCTGGCTTGTGTCAAAGCCAGCACACAGGAAGAAAGGGAGTGATGTCACTCTGCAGGTCAGGCAAAGAACAAAGATGCATTCTACAATTAAAAGCTGAGGGCCTCAAATACCAGGGGCCCTCCAGCGTGATATGACTAGTGTGATTTAATGTCCAGGCTCTTGCATTTATTTCTACCCAAATAGCCAGGGCTCCATCTAGTGGCAAATTAGTTTTGCCCAGTTTTCTTTAAAAGAGAACCCATAAAGTGTTACTTAGTTAGCACCAAGAAAGTGCAGCAACTAAAATGATCGGTAATTTTAGAGCAGTCTAGTCTTTTTACACTGAAGAATGCAAAAAGCATGATTCATCACAATGGTCTCTATTTTAAAATCCTGCAAAGCACACATTTCACAGGCTAAGATTTGATATAGCTCTAATTTTTTTAATGCCTTAATCCTAACAATAGCAGAAAAAGCAGCTAATTTTGCAAAATGCATGTAAAGTGACATTACTTACACACTACTCTGAAAATATGTCACTAAAATGTAAAGTGAAAAACAGTTCTAAAAAATGGACGCATGCATCTGGACACCTTGGTGAAATCCAACACATAATCTTATCCATCAGTGGAACAAAAGAATCATAGTTATTAATATGGCTCTAACATGTGAAGCCAAGAGCAACACTTCTCTAGAACAGAAAAAGAAATATCTTTATGCTGAAATGATTTAACACAATTTTTAATGTTTTCCACTTCCGTTTGCAGTAAATGAAATTAAACATTTTGACAAAGTGATCTAAAATACAGAACATATTTGCACAAAAGATGGGCTATCACAGTGGACGTGTGTGAGTTCTGGGGTCAGATGCCCTGGGTGGTAACCCTGGCCCTGCCCCTAACTAGTTGTGTTACCTTGGACAAACTGCTTACCCCCTCAGTGCCTCAGTTCCCTCAACTCTAAAATAAATGAATTGGTAAAAAGTACTTGGAACAACTCCTTGCACATAGTATATGCTCAGCAAATGTTAGCTATTATTATTATTTACATGTACAAATATTTGCTACATTTTAAAATTATATGAATTAGATATTTCTAACAGTCCATTTACACTCAATCCTATTTAGAGTCTCCAAAGACAATCTTTTTTAGGCCACAAAACTTACTACTCTTTGATGTGTTTCCACAGTAAATTATCACCCTAACAAAAATGGTAGGATAAAGATATCCTAAGGATAACTGTTGATGAAAGCCTTAGCATGTGGCAGGGAATATCCTAAATACTTCAGTTTATTAGCTCTTTAAAGCCTGGAGGCCTTATGAGATGCATACTATCATTTTCCATTTTTAGATGTAAAGACTGAGGCCTAGGCAGGTTAAGTAATTTGACTAAAATCTACAGCCACTGAGGACCAGGGCCCTTACATAACTGGACTGAATGATAATTAATAGATTTGTTTGTTTTTTTAAGAGTCTGGTACAGCTTTATTATAGTTTTTATTTTACCACACTAGTTCAGTGCGTAATAACCTGCCAGAAACACAGAATTCACTTGACATATGCTCTGAGCACCAAGATAATGGAATATGCTGAAGAAAAACCTTGGGTCACACCCAGCGAGGCTCTCCTCCCTCCCTGGGGGATCCGGGCGGAGCACCAGCTCTCAAGAGTTGCTGAAGTGGATTTAATAGATTTGAACAAAGGCCATCGAGCTCCAGGACCAGTGCTCTGGACCATGACACAACTGGCAATGAAGAGCCTGAGGCTGGGCCAACTCACTCTAAATACTCTGACTCTTTGTTTCCCTACTAGATAAAGTGACTGATAACAAACATTTAATAAGGATTCAATTAATTCAAGAAGATTATTTGAAGTTTCTCTCCCTTGACACTAAGCGAAACAAATAAGGCGTTAAGGAAGAAAAAAGTCTGAGACATTCTCAGATTTCTAGATTTGCTCTTTCTGTTCCACCAGATGCAACTTCCCTTTCTCTTTCACTTTCAAAATTTTTCTCTAAACTCCTTGGATACACCTTTAGGACATTTCCTAAAGATGCCTAGAATTGACTCCATTTGAATATACCAAAGCTTCAATATGTTGATAATATAATACTTTTGAGGCCAAAAAACCCAACAGCTACACACCCCCGCCATGGCCCCCCAAAAAATTCAAGTTTTGATTTGGCAGCTTTCTTCCTTTTACACTCCCTGAGCTGCTTGGGTGAGAACCCTAGCCAGAAACCATCCTAGTCCAAAAAGGCAAGAGAAGCACATGCATCTGAGGACTGACAATCTTTGAGGAAAGAATTAGCATTAAACACCCTGTAGAAATTAGCCCTGAGAACCACTCAGAAAATCTCTAATTCTCCGAATTTATCCTCAACTTCCTCACTTTTGTATTTGATGCAAATAATTGCATAGCGGAGTAACATTTATAAATAATCAACATGTTATGTTTTTAATGCCAGACACATGTCCTATGTGTCTTTTTCATTTCCCAGAATATCTAGTACATCATTTTGGAAATAATCTGGTGTTTTAAAACACTGGTTGAACAACACCTAATGAGCAGTAACACAGTATGTATTAAGAATAGAATTAGATTGGGGCGCCTGGGTGGCTCAGTTGGCTAGGCATCTGCCTTTGGCTCAGGTCATGATCCCAAGGTCCTAGGATCGAGCCCCACATCAGGCTCCCTGCTCAGCGGGAAGCCTGCTTCTCCCTCTCCCACTCCCCCTGCTTGTGTTCCCTCTCTTGCTGTGTCTCCCTCCATCAAATAAATAAACAAAATCTTTAAAAAAAAAGAATTCAATTAGATAATTGTCTAATTTTCTGATTAAAACTTTTTGATGACTCCCCAATGCATATTCCAGGGTTTCCCAAACCCTGTTCTAAGAAACAGGAGATACCCTTTCAAACAAGTCTGTAGTCAAATAGTTGTGGAAATGCTACCCATAAAAAGAATCCAAGAGGCCGTTCTAGTAAATACCTGCTTAACTTGTCTCAACTGGTGCCTCTCAAATGGTTTTGACCATAGAAAAACCTCCACGTCTTTCTTCATTCCGTATCCTTACTCTCCTTGTCACCACTCCTAACCTCTCCCATTCTGGTCCCCACGGAGGGACCAGCATGCGATCACATCCCCTACAACAATTTTCAGGGCACTGATTGCTTATGTCTCTGTCTCCCTCTTCTAGATTATACAGTTCCTAGGCAGAAAGACGGTACCTTTCTCATCTTTGTATCCCAGTACCTGGCACCCAATAGCCATGATGTACTGAGTGAAAGAGTGACTACATATATGACTGATCGCATGGATCACCATTTCCCACCCTGCCATCTCTGCCATCTCAACTGCTATTGGTGCTGAAAGGGATAATTTGAACTAAAACCAGTTGGTTCTTTCACAGGAATTAGCAGTTCCTAT